GTTGCCTCCCATACTGGCCCTGACTGGGATGGAACCCACACCTAGGTATGTGCCCTGACCGGGAATGGAGCTGCAACATTTTGGTGTGGGGGACGATGTTCCAATCAACTGAGCCACCCGGCCGGGGCTACATTCTTTCCTTTTTTTTTCCTTTTCTTTTTGCACTCAGTCTTGAAAATCCAGTGTGTATACAGCGCTCAGTGTGAAGCAGCCTCACCGCCCATGCTCAGTAGCTACAGTGGCCAGTGGCTGCGATCTGGGGTTAGACCTGCTGCAGAGGGTCAGGCGGGGAGCTGAGACCAAGTATGGAAGCCAGAGGGCCCTGCAGCTGTGAGCTAAGGCAGAGCTGTGGTAGTGGCAGTGTTCCCAGAGCGACCTGGTGGGGAAGATAGGTCAAAAGTCATAGGGTAGCCCGGCCAGCTTGGCTCAGTGGATACAGCGTTGGCCTGAGGACTGAAGGGTCTTGAGTTCAATTCCGGTCAAGGGTCTTGGCTGCAGGTTCGATCCCTGGCCCAGGTCGGGGCGCGTGTGGGAGGCAACAATCAATGTCTTTCTCACACTGATGTTTCTCTCTCACTGTCTCTCCCTCTTTCACTCTCTCTAAATAATAACTAATAATAATAATAATAATAATAATTAATGGAAAAATATCCTCAGGTGAGGAGTAACAACAACAACCACGAAAGTAATAGGTCAAATCAAAGGTCGGTCCAGGGCAGTGGCCCGAGGAGGGAGAGGCTGGTCTGGAGGGTGATCATGCTGAGGCGGACGGGCCTTCCCGGAGTCTGAGTTCTCCGTGTCGACTTGGGCCTTGGCGACGGGCAGGATGTCAGTGGCCGGTGATGTGGAGGATGCGGCAGGGGGCAGGGGGCAGAACCAGGAAGGGCTGGGCCAAGCTCAGAGCTCAGTTCCTTCCCGGGGAGGCGGTGAGTAACGTGCTGAGGGGCTCCGGGCAGCGGCAGGGAGCGGTGGGGACTGTGGAGGGTGAGGGTGTGTGTCAGCCGAGGCAGTTGAGGCAGACGCCGCTCGGAACCCGGAGCCACCACAAACACGGCCCGGAGCTGCCAGGCTCCGCTGGTTTGTCCAGAGGAGCCAGAAACCTGGATTTTTATGTGAAATCTGACTTTTCAGAGTTGGCAACCGGCTCAAATTCTTTTGAAGCACCGTGCTCAGCCAAACCAAACATGTCTGCCGGCGGCATCTGCCCAGGCGCCCGGTCGCCAGTTGTGGGAGAGATCATGTTGAGGGACAGGCATCCTGTGACTAAGATGGGGGGCGGGGGACAGAGCTGGCGAGGGGCTTGTCTGCCCGGCTGGCGGGCTTGGCTTTCCCTGGGACCATGGGGGCTGGAGGAGCCAGGAGGGCAGACCCAGGGAGACAGCCTCTGGCACCCTCGGGCGGGGCCGGTTCAGGGTTGCAGGTCCGCCTGGGTCTTGGCTGAGGACAAGTGGCCAGACACCTGCTCAGGTTGACTCAAGTCAAAGGGGGCAGCCCGGCTGGCGTGGCTCAGTGGTTGAGCATCGACCTATGAACCAGGAGGTCAGGGTTCGATTCCCGGTCAGGGCTCATTCCTGGGTTGTGGGCTTGATCCCCAGTGTGGGGTGTGCAGGAGGCAGCTGATCCATTATTTTCTCTCATCATTGATGTTTCTATCTCTCTCTCCCTCTCCTTTCCTCTCTGAAATCAGTAAAAAAAAAACATTTAAAAAAATCAGAGGGGCAGAGCTGGGGGGAAGCAAGGGCAGGCACAGAGCTGCCTTCTCCCACCCCCCTCTTTGCTCTAGGGCCCTCTCCATTGACCAGCTGCTTCTGTGGGTCCCCTCATTTTTGCTCCCCAACAATTGCAGGGCTCTGTATCCACTCAGACTGACTTTCCATGATCTCAGGGTTCCAGGGCCCAGAAGTTGTCTGTCTCAATTCAAGTTCCCAAGAGAGTGAACCTAATTGGCTGGGCGAAGCAACTAAGTCCAAGGCATGCCATCCCCTGGTACATGTCCCCCTAACCAGGCCCACCCCTCTGCAGGGCTGGAGGTGAGCAGCTTGCCAGCGGGGGGCTCCCGGCAGGCCTTGGTGGGGAAGACCCGTTCCTGTGCCTGAGCCTCCCCAGTCCCCAAAGGCCCCTTTCCCGGCCCCAAGGGCCACCAGGGTCCTCACGGTCTTCCGGCGTTTGGGGTCTCCGGGAAGCTCACCTACAGGCCCCAGGAGGCTGATGCTTTGGCTCAGAGCACACGGAAGGCTGGGTCCCAGGGGAGCCGGGACCAGCGTCTGGAGAGGAGGGTGCAGACAGCAGGCTGAGCACCCTGGAGGGGCTGCAACCAAGTTAGAGGCCAGAGGTCAGCCGGGTGGAGCCCCGGGGCCTGGAAGAACGTCCGAACCCACACGTCAACGACCCGAGTGGCTGTGGGGTGGCCGTGGGGCCCAGCCCTGCAGTGGCTGTCATGGTGGGACCCAGAGAGCGGGGAACGCAGTTCCAGGCCCCACGGTGGAGGAAGTAGCCTGGAGCCCACAGAATTTAGAGCCAGAACCCCAAACCCTTCAGGCATAGGGCATATGACCTTGACTTCAGGCCCAGCGTTTCCAGAACCCAGGGACCTGGAGTCAACAGAACCGGATCTTGTCGGGTGGAGTTTGCTAGGCCCCAAGCAGGGTGCATGGGGATCCCCACCCCCACTCCCCCAAAGCTGACCCAGGGCCCAGGTCTCCATGGAAACCCAGATAGTGGAGGGGGCTGCTGGAGTTGTGGTGGAGAATCCTGCAAAAAACCCCACAAAAAACAAAAACACAAGGACCCTGGCCCTCCCTTACCCAGCCTTACCCAGCTACCTCCTGCAGGCAGGCTGGGTGGGGCCAGCAGGACCACTGACCCAGGGGCCCTCCAGGGCCCACCCCCGGGCTTGGCACACGTGTTTGCTGAGTGAATCCAGCGCCCAGAAGCTGTGGGGCCCACACAGTTCCTTCTGCTGGAAGTCCTTGAGGGCAGGGCCGGGTGTGGGCCACCGGGAGTCCCCAGGGCTGACCCCTGCAAGGGCACCCCGCTCTGGCTGAGGGGCCCGTGGAGAAGGGAGCCTTGGGGAGAGGGCCCCAGGCGCCACTGGCCACTGGCCCTCCCGTGCCTGGGTCTCTGGCGACAACCTGGGGTGGGAGGGGTCTCGGGGGGCTCTGTCGCTTGGGGGAGTCCTGGCTCCCGAGGCTGCCTTTCTGCGGTGCACGGCGTTTCCTAACCGTTAGAATGCTGTCCCCGTAGCTCCGATGCCGGTCACTTAAAGTGCAAGACCAGGCAAAAGGCCTGGGTGCGGTTAGAAGTCTGGGGGTGCCGTCGGGGAGCGGCTGGCAGCCCCCAGGGCCTTCTGCAGGCTGCTGGCTGTTGTGACCACGTGTGTGCCAAGCTGTGCGCTCATGATAGCGGCGCTTCTGTGCATGTTTGTACTTCCATGAGGTTTTAAATGCCAACCAGCGCGGAGATGGCGGTACAAGGACAGCAGCCAACAAGCCCACTCCCCTGACCCATCCCCGACGGCATTCCTAGGGGGGTGCGGGGTCTCCTGGGGTGGGCGCGAGGCGCAGGGGGCTGCCCGGACCGGACCTGCCCTAGACGGCCCCTCTGGACCGGGAGAAAGAGCAAGTCGTCCCGAATGCTCATCCCCTTCCCGGGGGCGGAAAACGCCTCCCACCCATCAAAACGGGGGGCGGGCGGGCCCCATGCGAGGGGCGGGGGCTGAAGGGGACGGCGGTACGGCCTTCGGTCTCACCCGCGACATGTCCAGGGGGTCGGGTTGGACGCGAGTGCGCACGCCTCTTATGAGAACGTACACTCTGCTAGATTCATCATAACAATGAGGGTACTAGGTGAGACTTGAAGGGATCTGTGTTGACTTGCTAACATGTCCAGACCTACAACCCAAATGATGTCACTGTGAATGTATATCACAAAAGAAATTTCACAGCTGACACCTGCCTCACCAGAGGAAAAGCATCGGTCACATTCCCTGAGTGCTTCGGGGATGTATTCCGTGTTTCGTTTTCGCTTTGTGCCGATAGATTCCTCCAA